GCCCACCCACGGACCTGATCTTTACTGTTCCCCCCAGTAGGGGTAGCAGAAGCCTCTTCGTCACGTCTGATTCTGACTTTGTTAGTAGTTGTCCGTGACTGTCTGCTGGCCCTTAGACACTGGCTGGCATTGTTACCTCCAACTTTGCAGGTGTCTCAATTGCTATTAACTAAACTAAGTACTTTTGCTTCTCAAACTTTCCAAGAGGGCTGGAGAGATGGCTCAGCGCTTAAGAACACTCACTGAGGGGCTGGAGAGATGGCTCAGTGGTTAAGAGCATTGCCTGCTCTTCCAAAGGTCCTGAGTTCAATTCCCAGCAACCACATGGTGGCTCACAACCATCTGTAAAGAGGTCTGGTGCCCTCTTCTGGCCTGCAGACATACACACAGACAGAATATTGTATACATAATAAATAAATAAATAAATAAAAAAAACACTCACTGATTTTTCCAGAGGACCTAGGTTTGATTCCAGCCCTTATATGGTGACTCACAATCACTTATTACTTCAGTTCTGGGGCATTGATTGCCCTCTTCTGGCCTCTTTGGGTACTAGGCACACATATGGTATACAGACAAACATGTAGGTAAAATCAGACAGACACAAAGACAGACAGACAGACAGACACAAAGTCAAATAAAAACCTACCAAGAACTAGCTGTGTTTGCTTAGATAACTCCTTGTGTATGAGATGGTCTGGGTTCTCTTTCCTGAAATGGGAGTGAGGTGGGGGGTAGGGGAGTTTTCTTAGAAGCTCACACTTAAAGTTACAATTAGCTGCATTAGAAGCAAGGCTATGTGTCTGGACAATGGTGCCTTCCTTGTGCTCCTCAGGGGACACATGGTTGTGCACACCCAGACTCTTCCTCGGTGTCCAGACTGCCGTTTTAACACTGCATCTTCCTTCAGCCACAGCCTCCATTCTCCAAACCTGTGCAAGTAACCTCATTTTCCCCATGGACTGTCTTCTCATACCACGAGCTGGGAGCCATCTCTGCCTCGCGGTTGAAATGCTAATATTTTCTTGTGGGTTTTGGCAGACACATCCCCGGGAGCTATTGTCCTATGGCTCCTTCTTCACTCTTCCTTCTTGCAGCCCCTGGTTTCACTTTGGTCTGAACACTAGCCTCAAAAAGTCGATTTCTGCTCTAATTTGTGAATGAAATTGTGTAAAATCGATTTTTATTATGTATTCAATTCTGCCTCTATGTATGCCCGCACGCCAGAGGAGGGCGCCAGATCTCAGTACAGATGGTTGTGAGCCACCATGTGGTTGCTGGGAATTGAACTCAGGACCTCTGGAAGAGCAGCCAGTGCTCTTAACCACTGAGCCATCTCTCCAGCCTAAAATCGATTTTTAAAAATTATTTTGTAAATGTGTGCCTTCGTATGCACATGTGTGTATGTATGTATATGAATGTGTGTGTGCATGCATGTGTGTGTGTTTTCACACGTGTACTTGTGGAGGGGAGAGGTTGACCTTAGATGTCTTTCCCCTTCCTTCTCCATCTTAGTTTTTGACTCAGGGTCTCTCAGTAAACCTAGAATCTACCAGTTTAGCTGGATCAGCTGGCATAAAGGTGTACATAGGTGCATATAGAGTACTCATATACATAAATCAACTTTTTTTAATATTTATTTATTATGTATACAATATTCTGTCTGTGTGTATGCCTGCAGGCCAGAAGAGGGCCCCAGACCCCATTACAGATGGTTGTGTGCCACCATGTGGTTGCTGGGAATTGAACTCAGGACCTTTGGGAGAGGAGGCAATGCTCTTAACCTCTGAGCCATCTCTCCAGCCCCCATAAATAAACTTTTAAAAATTGAAAAAAAAATTAAAAAGACACTTGACTTGAAGGGATCTATGGTCTGTTTTGTTATAGCTACTTTAAGTAGCCTAGGTGTGGTAGTACTTGCCTTTGATCCCAGCACTCAGGTGGATCTCTGTGAGTCTGAGGCCAGCCTGGTCTACAGAGCTAGTTCCAGGATAGTCAGAATACTGAGAGAAACCCTGTCTCAAACAAAACAAAACAAAACAAAACAAAAATCCAAGACAATTGCCTATATGTAGTAGCCATATACAAAAATTTTATGAAATTGCCTCAGTGATAAGTGGGAAATTCTAAAATTCTCCAATTGAACAAAGATTTTCATGTTGTTATTGGTGGTGGCTGTTTCTTAAACAGCAGGAGCAAAAGAACTTACTGGGATATAAAGAAGAGCCGAGCAGCAGAAAGAAAGGGGATGCTTCACGGGACTAGGTTTCCTATCATCCTACATCTGACTTCAGCAGGCAGATCTCTGTGAGTTCAAGGCCAGCCTGTTCAAGACGAGGCTATTTAGAGACCCTGTCTCAAAACAAAACAAAACAAAAAAGCAGCATACCCTTTGGGAAGAAGGGAGACAGAAAAATGGTTCAGCCAGTAAAGTGCTTGCCTGAGTGTGATTCAAGCACCCACGTAGAAAGAACCAGGCTTGGCGGGACACACCTGTATCCCCGACTTGGAAAGGCAGAAACAGGAGGGCACCTGGGGTTTGAAAGGCCAGCTGATCCAGCTAAACTGGTAGATTCTAGGTTTACTGAGAGACCCTGAGTCAAAAACTAAGATGGAGAAGGAAGGGGAAAGACATCTAAGGTCAACCTCTCCCCTCCACAAGTACACGTGTGAAAACACACACACATGCATGCACACACACATTCATATACATACATACACACATGTGCATACGAAGGCACACATTTACAAAATAATTTTTAAAAATCGATTTTACACAATTTCATTCAGAAATTAGAGCAGAAATCGACTTTTTGAGGCCAGTGTTCAGACCAAAGTGAAACCAGGGGCTGCAAGAAGGAAGAGTGAAGACCCCACTATAGATGGTTGTGAGCCACTATGTGGTTGCTGGGAATTGAACTCAGGACCTCTGGAAGAGCAGACAGAGCTGAGACATCTCTCCAGCCCCCAAAGTTTATTTTTAACTATGTGTATACGTATGGCCCTGTTTGTGGTTATGTGCCGTGTGAGTGCTGGCGTGTGTGTGGAGGCCAGAGGCTTCCCATCTCCTGGAACTGGAGTTACAAGCCATTCTGAAGCAGCTGGTGTGGGCTCTAGGAACTGAGCTTGGGTCCTCTGCAAGGGCAGTGTGCATCTTCAACTGCTGAGCCATCTCTCCTGACCAACTTCTTTAAAATGTGTGTGTGTGTGTGTGTGTGTGTGTGTGTGTGTGTGAGAGAGAGAGAGAGAGAGAGAGAGAGAGAGAGAGAGAGAGGAGACAGAGACAGACAGAGACAGATGGACGAGAGACAGAGAGAAAGAGAAAGAGGTGGGGTAGGGAATGGATTGGAGGGAAAGAGGAGAGAGTAGACGTGAAAAGAATAATAGCATGTCTTACTATGAGGAGAAGCAAGTATCTAGAACAGAAATTAAAGGAAACATTTTTTAAAAGTATTTTATTTGTATAGTATTATCTTAACGTTTGTGTGAAATCCTGTGTATCTGTCTTTGTAAGAGTATGTGCACGTGAAAGCAGGATCTTCAAGACCAGAGGTGTTGGATCTCCTGGAGCTGGGGTTACAGGTGATTGAGAGCAGCCTGACCTGGGTTCTGGGACCCCACTTGGGACGTCTAAAGGAGCAGGACATGCTTTTAACCACAGAGCCATATCTCTGGTCACACCTCTCCTCGCCTAGGTTTTGAGACAGGGTTTCACTATTCAGGTCTCGCTGGTCTGCAACTTGCCCTGTAGTCGAGGCTGGCCTTGAACACTCAGAGATCTGCCAGCCTCTGTCTCCAGGGTGCTGGGGTCAAGGTGGGTGTCACCATGCCCAGTGTGAAAGAAATGCTCTGCCTCCTAAGAGCTGGAATTAAAGGTGTGCGCCATCACCGCCTGGCTGAGAATGAAGATCTTAACACACGGGAAGAGACACTCTTGGTTACTGAGAAGCTGTGCCGGAAGGAAAGGAGGAAGGAGGCAGAGACGGGGCTCCGGAGAAAGCAGTTTGAGCAGCAGTTCGTCAGAGCCTCCCTCTCCAATGCAGTAGCCACTAGCACGTGCAGAAACCCACGTCCTCACCTTCACTAGCTGTGTCTCCAGGGGTTTTCCATACCAGACAGCGCACCGAAAGAAGGTGCCTCACAGTAGTGATATTTTAGTATGGCCGTGGGAGCAGAGTTGAAGAGCTTGGGAGGGCTGTTTGGGGGTTGGAGAAGGGGTGATATTAGGGGGCACCTCATTTGCCACACAACCCTTCAGGAGAGAGGAGTTTGGGTGAGAACTGGGAAGAAGGAATTGAGAGGAATGATTTATTTTGATTTCACGCACATTTGTTTTTGTTTTTTGAGACAGGGTTTCTCTGTGGCTTTGGAGCCTGTCCTGGAACTAGCTCTGTAGACCAGGCTGGTCTCGAACTCACAGAGATCCGCCTGCCTCTGCCTCCCGAGTGCTGGGATTAAAGGCGTGTGCCACCATCGCCCGGCTTCATGCACATTTGTGTTTTGCCCGCATGTATGTCTGTCTGAAGGTGTTGGATCTCCTGAAACTGGAGGTTTAGGCAGGTATGAACTGCCGTGTGAGTTCTGGGAATCAAATCTGGGTCCTCTGGAAAAACAGCTTAACCGCTGAGCCATCGCTCTAGCTCTGAGAGTGTCCTTGTCCACCTGTCAGGGTCATCTCACTGCCTGCTGACATGCCCAGCCCTGGCCCCAGCCCCAGCACTAAGGCCAACCTCCCGTCTTCCCTTGGGGCCACACTGTGATGCCCTCATTCAGACATCGGCATTTTCTTTAGATGCTTCCCAATAAGGAAACAGAGGCACTCTGGATCCCAGCCAACCCTGACTGCAGACCCCAGAGTCGGGCTGGGCACACAGGGTAGTAAGAGTTTTCACGGGATGTAGTCTTCCAGTCAGTGATGGGGAGAAAGGAATGGGCCTGGGAATGGGCACTGGACTTCTGACTGGGTCATAGGTTGGGACTTGGCTGATGCTTTGATGACTGAGCAGCGTGTGACCATTACCAACCCAAGATGCAAGCCCAGGAAATCCTCACTGTTCATCTCTGAGAGAGACAACAGAAGTCAGCAAGGCCCAAGTCTCAAGGCGTCCATTAGCTGGGAACAGAAACACACACCAACCATTTAGACCTTTACTGGGGACCGAACGCTGCGCGTCCCTTCTAGTCAGTCCTCAGTGGTCAATGATTTCAATGTGGAACTGTAGGTGAGTGGTCGTGATCACACAGTGGCCCCGCAGGAGGGAGCAGGACTGGCAATTGTGGTATTTCCAGTGGCCCTGGATGATGTAGATGGCGCTGAGGACCTGGCAGTACCGCCAGTGAATGCGCCACATCCGAATCAGCGACTGGATCTTGACGATCGCTCTCTCCCTGTTTGAGAAGTCAATCAGCGCTTTCCTCCGCTTCTTCTCCAGGATCCTGCAGAGCGTCAGCCGCCACCAGCACTGGATGATCCAGACTCTGAGGGCTGCATGCAGCAGGGTCCTGCGCACCAGGGTGCCACGCCACCAGGCCTGGAGCTTAATGGCTGCTTTAGTTTTTTTCTTCTTTAACTTTTTCTAGACAGAGATAAGAGAGATTACTCAAGGACCTTCCTGCTACCAACTTTCAGGGTATTCTTGGAAGGGCACTGGGCTGTCCTCTAAACACTGGCTCCTCCTTGGAGAGTTCTGGGATCTAGCAGAACTCTGATGAGGAGCCGGACCTTGTCGGGACCCTTCCCTGCTTTTGTGGGCACATCACCCCATTCTCAGTGTCTCAGTTCCTCTCTTTTCTTTTCTTGTTTTCCTTCTTCGACACAGGGTTTCTTTTTGAGATAGCCAGCCTTGGCTGTCCTGGAACTTGCTCTGTAGACCAGGCTGGCCTCAAACTCGCAGAGATCCGCCTGCCTCTGCCTCCTGAGTGCTGGGATTAAAGGCATAAGCCACCACCGCCTTGGCTGTTCCTTTTTCATCCCGTGTATGCTACACTGGCTTTGAACTCCTTATATAGTGGAGAATGACCTTAAATTTCTGTTCTTCCTTCCTGCCTCCATCTTCCAAGGGCTGGGATCACAGGGGATGTACCTCCATCCTTGGCTAATAACAACCTTCTCTTGCCTACCTCATTGCTGCCTAAATTAAGAGAAAACCAGAGTCACCAGAAGGGTGTGCTGGGGACAGGAGGAGCTTCGGTGTAGTTACACCACACGGTTAGCGCTTGCTGATTCGGGAACATTGGCTCTCCCAATGCTTTCGCCTGGGTGTCTTCCTTCCTTCCCTTCCTTCCTTCCTTCCTTCCTTCCTTCCTTCTTTCCTTCTCCTTCCTTCTTTTCTTTTTTTGTTGATTCACCCCTCCCCCCCATCATCTGATTGCTCTCTGTGACAGTCATGTGTTTTTACTTCACACTGTGACTTGTAGCACTTCCTTCCTGTTCTACAACCAACCTGCCTGTATTTAGACCATTCTGCTTAATCCACAGTACTGGTGCTCTGGACTTCCAGCCCCAGGCAGTTTCCGATGGTTTCCCTCTTTCCAGTCAGCACGTCACAGTCAGACTCAGATCCAAGAGCCCAGACCGAGGAGAAGGAGACAGAGGGGAATGAGCAAATACTGACTTGACTCTTGTCATTTAGACTTGGATGGATATGAGGTGGAATCCCACGTCCCTAGCACATGGATACAACTGACTTGGAGTTCTCCTAACTGTATGTGTAATTCAACTCACTTGTTCTCTTACCTTTAGCTTCTTCTTTTGAATAATTTCATTTTCTTCTTCAATTACAGGCACAATCAAACTGCTCTTGGACTGTCACCGAGATTAAATGGGAATACATGTGCATGAGTAAAGGCTTTCTCTGGACGGCCCTGTCAGAAGCGCCCACCGCTTCAGTATCCCTCCCTTCCCTAGGCCTGTGAAGCCCAGCGTGTGATGCACACGCATACCCTGACCGCCTGCTAGGTCTGGTCCTGGCTCTTACACAAAACTTAAGCGCCATCACCAGCCTGCCTCTAGATGGTTCATTAGCCCTCATTTCCTGCTTCCCAGCATCAGGTATTAGTGACCCAAGAGAGGGGAAACTGAATTCACAATGGCTTTGTGATACAAGATTAAGATATTTGCCTCAGCCTCTCCCCCTTCTACTTCCTTATCACATATGTTCTATTGTCTCTCCTCTCTTAAGTCCCTTCTCCCAGTGGCCCCTCTCTACCTTCCTTACCTCTACAGGCATTCCAAGGGGCGGGCGTGGGGTGGGGACCACAAATCTAAAGAGTCAAAGCTAGTATTTGCATATGAGAGAGGACATGCATTTGTCTTTTTACTTCACTCAGAATTTTCTAGTTCCACCTATTTACTTGTAAGTCTTATATTTCTTTCTTTCTTTTTTTAACGGTTGGATAAAGTTCCGTTCTGTCTATCCACCACATCTTCACTGTCTGTTAGCAGTTGGTTGGGATCCAGGCTGACTGTTTCCTCGCTAGTGTGAGTAGGATATTGGTCAACACGAATGTACAAGGATCACTGTAGTCAAAACTAGAAGCTTCAATTCTTCTCGCTAGCTTTCATAATCCTCAAAGGTTGTATGCACACCGAATGAATGGAAAAAAAATCTGTACACTAGCAGGGGAGAAAAGTAATCAATAGTCTTATCCGGCTGTGAACCCTGCAAGCTACAAGAACAAGTGACCTTCTGTGCACACACAGATAAGCAATAGTGAAATAGTGGGAATAACCAACCACTTTCAGGTTGGGTTTTAAGCCCATTCTCCAAGACGGAATTCATATCTGGCATTGTTAACTGGGTCAAGAGTTCAGAGCAGGATAGGTCTTAGGCCCTAGGGGAGGACTTGGTAATCTCCTTCTGCTAAATGGTCATACTAATAAACATCCCCCTGAACTCTTATTTTTATACCCACAGATTAGTGCAACGCTCAACCCTTATCAAAGACGCTTCTTTTTACAGTAGCTGGAGATGAATCCAGAGACCCAGAACCCATGGAGAAGGCCATTAAAGTTCTACCATAAATAGGCACCAAGACTTGATAGGTCCAATCTGAATCTCTCAAAACTTAGAAATTCAGATGTTACTCATTAAAAACTATCCTAAAAGATAAAAATTTTTATCAAGAATTTCACAGGGACAGTTTGACTTGGTGGCAGACATCTGTAAGCCCAGCACTGCGGTATTTCTTTTTTTTTTTTTTTTTGTTTTTTTTTTGTTTTTCGAGACAGGGTTTCTCTGTGGTTTTGGAGCCTGTCCTGGAACTCACTCTGTAGACCAGGCTGGCCTCGAACTCACAGAGATCCGCCTGACTCTGCCTCCCGAGTGCTGGGATTATAGGCGTGCGCCACCACCGCCCGGCTTGCGGTATTTCTTATTAGAATCATGTGTGTGTTCCATTTTGTCTGGATTCTTTCTCTTACTGAATGTTTTCACAGTTTCCCCGTGTTGCAGTATGCATCAGTCCCTGATAATTTTCTATGGCCAAGTAATATTCCACTGCAAGGACATGCCATGTTCTGTTCACGTGCACACCTTTTTCATGGGCATTTATGCTATTGATTTTCACTTGGGGCTATTAGGAATGGTGCCGCTGCAAACACCCACCCATGTACAAACTTTCTGTGAATACCCTTTCATTTCCCAATAGCTAGGGCTTGAACTTCTGGCCCATGATGAACTCTGAGGACTCATTTGAGGAACAGAGGCCTGTTTTCCATATGGATCAACCACTTAAAATTTATGCTAGCGCGTATGTAAGCTCTTATTCTTTTTTATTTGTGTCAGCCCTTGTTACTGCCTGATGTTTTGATAAATTATCCTCTGTAGGGGTGTCATCTTAAGTTTTTAATTTTTCTTTTTAGAATTACGTTTTAGATCAGCTGGGGATGGAGGGGATCTGGAGGAGTTAGAGGAAGGGCTGGGGAGGGAATGATTGAAAACAGTATAAAATTCTCAAAGAATTAATTTAAATTTAAATAATTTCTCCTTTACTTCTCATAATTAATTCCCTTTCTTGTTTCATGACCCTCCCAGCCTTATAAATACACATGTAGGTATTGATACAAGCACATGTTTTTTTTTTTCGAGACACGGTTTCTCTGTGTAACAGTTCTAGCTGTCCTGGAACTAGCTCTTGTAGACCAGGCTGGCCTTGAACTCACAGAGATCCGTCTGCCTCTGCCTCCCAAGTGCTGGGATTAAAGGCGTGCGCCACCACTGCCCAGCTTGTGTATTTTTAAATCTAGGTTCTGTATGTATTTAATTTTTTTTAAAGATTTATTTATCTACTATGTATACAGTATTCTGCTTGCACATATGCCTGCAGGCCTGAAGAGGGCACCAGATCTCATTATAGATGGTTGTGAGCCACCATTGTATTTCTTTTTTTTTTTTAAAAAAACAAGTTCTTACTATGTATCCCTGGATGTCCTGGAATTCTCTTTGTAGACCAGGCTGGCCTTGAACTCACAGAGATCCGCCTGCCTCTGCCTCCCCAAGTGCTGGGACTAAAGTCTCATATTGCCTCCTCTGATATGTTTTAACTCTTTTTTAAAATATTTATTTTATTTATTATGTATACAATATTCTGTCTGTGTGTATGCCTGCAGACCAGAAGAGGGCACCAGACCCCATTACAGATGGTTGCTGGGAATTGAACTCAGGACCTTTGGAAGAGAAGGCAATGCTCTTAACCTCTAAGCCATTTCTCCAGCCCTATGTTTTAACTCTTTTGGAACTGATGATGTTAAATATACTTTGTGTGCTTATTGGCCATTTGTGTGTCTTTGGAGAAGTGTCTTTTTAGACCTTTCCTATTTTATTCATTAGAATCTTCTAAGAGGTGATTAAAATAACTAGAAAACACGGTAACATAGGATCAATTAGATGGCTGAGGGTAGAGGCACTGTACAGAGCTGGTGAGCTGCACTTCATCCCTGAACCCACAAGGTGGCAGCAGAGAACTGATTCCCCAACTCTGGAGGCCGTCTTCTGACCTCAAGCCAGAAGGCTGGCTGTGGACACCTCACACACCCCGACAACATCCCACACACACCTAAAATAATAATGTATGAATCAAATTTAAATTAAAGCTTAAAACATAAATGGCAAATAGCAGCACAGAAGAGTTAGGAACCCGATTCGTCCAATAGTCCCATGGACACTTTAAAGGAAATAATCACATTTAAAAAAATAGTGTTGTCAAAGCACAGAAAACAGGCTTTAGAAATTAAGAACTATAAAGAATTAAAAAAAATTGCTGGCATATTTAGTGATTCTGTAGAGCAACTGAGCCAGGGACCCCCAGTAGCCCAAAGGCTCTTCCAGAGCATTTTCTTTGTCCCCTTTCTAAAATTAAAAATCTTTAAAATTCCAGACACGTAATACAGGTATTACATCCTCTCCCTTCTCTTTCCCTCCCACCCTTCCTATATCCTCCTAGCCCTGCGCCCTCTCAAATTTGTGGCTTCTTTTCCTTTGTTACACACATACACACATCACGCATACACATTCATAAACACTGAGACCATTTAGTATCGTTTGTATGTACGGTTTTCCTGGCTGAGCACTTATTA